TTTTTTTGGTTTTTCTCCGGTACCAGGAACCGAACTCACGACTTTGCGCTTGCCAGGCAGGCGCTTTTGCCGCTGAGCTAAATCCCCAGCCCCTTTACTGTGATTATCTTATACAGTGTAAAAGTTTAATACTGAGCTTTTACATTTCAGGAAAAAATAAGCATTTTTCCTAAATTATCACATCCAAATTATCTCAAACTGGTTACTAGATTTATTCATTAGATTTTTGAAGGAATCATTTAGAAATATAGTATTTCACAGCATTGTCAAAAGCTTTCATACATATAAAAGGAGCATGTTTCCAACACATACGTTCTCTCATTAACAAGAACTGAGATCAGATATACAAAAAAATTATGTAGTGGTAGCAAATTGCCCACTATAGACAGAAAACATGCCTTACAAAGAACTACAATCTTTTTTTAACAGAAAAAAAGGCAGTACATCACTTAACGTTGAAAGTTTAACCTATAGTACTGACAGAATTCCAAGTCTAACTTATTGGCCCTTTGACTTTATGGATAACTGTTAACTTCCCTGGGATTCATTTCTCGATTGGTACAACAAAGATAACTACAGTACTGATCTTAAGGGTTATTAGGAGAGTTCAGTAAGATTAAGCACTGACTCTGCAGTGTCTGGTACACAGAAAGCATTAACATATGAACTTTATAACAAAAAATCATAAACCACTCTTTTAAAATAATAGCTCTACCTTTTAAAACACAAGAAGTCTTAATTAATCAATGAGTTTCAATGCTCTAAATCAGAACCCCACCTAGCCCCATCTTTAACCAACCTGCGTTAAGGGCACTGCTGAAACGCTGTCCTGAAGGAGTCCTCTGAACCACCGTCAGGGTCAGGAAGAAGGGAGAAGGCACAGACCAGGTTTCTGTACCTTTCTGTGTGTGCACACAACCCACGCTCAGGGAAAACGCTGTAACTGGCCAGACTCACCTGCCCATCTTCCTCTACACTTCTGCAAACTTCTTGAACTAGGTCAGTTCTTTTTTCCAGGCACCCAGCCTAATGTGGTCCTACATCCTCACTACTGTATCATAATGGTCCTGACCTACTCATTCTCCAAACCCTTGATCTACAATTTCTTGTCTTTTCATCCCATCTACAGACACTTCTTTTCAAAATGAGCCAACTGATTCGGCATAATGTATCGCATATTTGGCACTATTAACATTTGGGGCTGGAAAATTATTTTGTTATGGGAACCTCTCTCACATTGTATAATTTTTAGCAGCATCCTGGGCCTCAACCCACTTGACAACAGTAGCAACCCTCCCACACAAGTTAGGACAACCGAAATTGTCTTTGCCAAATATCTCCTGGGGGCAAACTCACCACTAGCTGAGGACCACCGATCTAGCATAACTGCTGTCCAGTGCAGAAATTCCCTCTACCATATAGCACACAGAACAGATGCTTTGTAGGAAACCCACACCACCAGTATCTTTGAATAAAAACTCACAGAATTTTTCAAACATCTGAAAAATATTTCCATTATAAACACTGTTTTAAAAAGGCAAAAGAAAATTAAAATCATACCTCTGCCTTGTGACATTTTAATATGGCCAACAATAAAACAAAAGCCTTTCATCCTCTCAGTGTGACTGATTTCAACTAATACAGTGGCTAACTGTTAATTCTGGTAGGTATCAGATTGCCTGGGTTCAAAACCCAGCTTAGCCACTTCCAAGCTTTGTGACTTTAGTTAGTTAAGTTTCTAACTCCTTGGTCTCGGTCTTCTCATCTGTGAAACAGGCATTTGTAATATCCACTGCTGAGAATTCCTCAAGTAAAGTCCTTAAAAATATTAACCCAACCACAACATTGTGTACTGTGCCTGGAAGTTCATATGCTGCCATTTCCACTGCAGCATCACAGTGATGCAGCTGAATGAGAGAGCCATTCCCAGCAGCAGAATATGCCACACACAAGGCCGAAGATCATGTGGCCACTGTACTTCCTGCCATAGCAGACACCAGTCTGTCAAAAAAGAATGGAGCCAACATGCTGTGGCGTCACAGAAAGCGTCCTGACATCACTAACTTTCGATTCCACTTGTTCTGAAGTTCCAGCTGCTGCTGCCCTCAGGTTAACAGCTTGATCTTTCTAGTTGTCAGATACCTCAGCTTCTTTAAATGAATACCCACTGAGCTGGATTTCTTCCACTTGCATCTAAAAGAGCTCTAGTAAGATTTCTAAGTTTCAGATGAATTGACAGATCTAATCTGAGAGATACCAAAAGATGTATTTTAAATAGTTCATATAAAACTTGATCCTAACTACTACTGGTATATTTTAGAGGCACTACTTCTAAGTAAGTAATATATAGTTTTTAAAATATATACACTTTATTAGGTTTGTTTAAAAAGAAGATAGTTTTTTTGAGTTTTTTGTTTTTGTTGTTTTGAGACAGGCTCTTGCTATGTAGTTCAGGCTGGTCTTAACTCATACGTAATCCAAGCTGGCCTCGAAGTCATGGTTGATACTCCTGCAACAGTCTCCTGAGTGGTAGAAAACACCACCATGTCTGGCTTCAAAGTAACTAATAACTATTATCCGTTAGAATAATATTATTCTATCAGTTAGAGTCT